CGAAGATTTTCCGACCGGGGTGATCCGGGACCTATGGTCCGAAGCTGTGTCCCAACGTTTTTATTGTTTTATTGCGGTGTGTACGCCTTGCGTCGGGAAAACCCGAAAAAGGCATATGTACACCCCGCTTTTGAAGGACGTGTCTTTTTATGTCTGGTCCGCCACAAACTATAACAAAACGAGCCGCAAGGAGCGAATAATCGTATCCTCTCTTCCCAAATAGACCATTTCTGTGGACAATCTGAGCGTCAATTAGAGAGACATTACTGTATTTCGTGAACTGAAATTAAGAATTCCACGGCCATCCAACTCGTGCGATTTATTTAGCAGAAAGAATAGAGAACAAGCAGACCTAAGGTAGAGTTCGCTGGAACTCGATTTCGAATTTGTATATATTAAAAACCAATTTTCAAGCTACTATTTCGTTAACTAAAATTAAGTCAAATACCCGGAGAATTAGCCGGATGGTTGCGAATAAACCTCAAATTAATTCGACATGGACCTGTGAGTAGACAGGAATAGAGACGTAAATGAAATAGGGATGATAACGTGGAACAATTGTTGGCCGGACAGATGGTGTGGAGAGAGTACGTTATCGAAGGTAACCATAAGTGTAAACTTACATGATTGATGTGACATTTAGACAGTGAATCGCTCCGCGAATATTAATTCACTCTATATCAGTTTCGTATTGAGAATTTAATGCGCATAATTAACGTATTAGAATGTAATAATGCATTTTTGTTGTCACAGTGGGCACCTAATTCCAAGATTCCTTTTTAAAAAATGCCAGTTTTATAGGAAACTCCGTTCGAAGCTTTCGAGAGAGTACTGAATTTTTCATCGGCTACTGAAACTGATAACACGTCGGGGAAAGTTTTCTGAGATAGGCGACACTCTCGCGAAGTGACTGCATATATCACGCTTTTATAAAAATCGATTGCTAATCCCTTCCATCATCCGCGCTGAATTTTTCGTTCCCACGTCGTTCTTAAACGGCGACGGGTATTTATAGAGCGTCACGCGTGTGACAGCCGTCGTATCAAAAATTCATAGAACTGCGCCCATCGACGGATCAATAGCGGATCTATCATAGAGAGATTACGTTCCACGGGAGATCTAAAAAGAGCGAATCCGTTCAACAGAAATATCATTGTACAGCTTACAGTAGACCTACGCATTATCGAAACCTGTGTACGTCAACTGTTTTTCTACATCGTTTACTCATAACTGAAATACTAATTAACCCCTTGCCGTACTTTGACGAGTCCGAGTCGTCATGAAAATTTCTATTATTAACTCATCGAGTATAGATGTTATTTTGTCCTTTAAAATTGCAATAAAATTCTATTCTTTTGTCGTCAATATTTAAGCATTCAAGTAAATTCAGGTGCACAATAAGCATTAATTTCTTTTTCTTTCTAAGAAATTATTAGAATCGAAAAGTTTCGAATCGCAGTAACTGCGAAGAAAATGGTATATCAAGGGGTTAATAAACTGCGGATTTTCGTGCAAAATGAAAATTGTCTACGTTGATTGTGACATTATCGGATTATATAACATGAGCCGTTTATTTTGAAAGTGGCATAAGTCACTTTACCGTAATGAAAAGTGGTGAGTTTTTAATGTTTATACGAAATTATTTATACTGAGAAAAATATCAGTATGCTGAGATAACAAATACAAGTAAATCTTCTCGAAAGTTAGCATCCATATTTTGAAACGTGTTAAAACGCAAACCCTTAAATATATCGACTTAAAAACAAAGTGACTTATGCCACTTTCCAAATAAACGGCTCATATATAGATTATATGTTATAACATGACTATATTATATTAACTTTTAACCGATTATATTATAACATTTTTTATATTTACGAATATCCTCAAATTCGTCTTATATCTTTACAATTTTGTTTCTAATCTACTCATTTTTGTCAAAAATGCATAACAGTCTACTGATTAAATTGGTCCCTATTGCAATAAGGAACTTCGTAATCAAAAATTTGATTATCTGACAGTGAATCAGGATTGTGAACAAATGCGACGAATATATGGTTACGTTACATTTACATTTATGACGTGATAACACCAAAGTAGATGAATCTTTGGAACTCGTTTCGGAACATTTGACACGTCGAGTGTCGCGTAAGGTTTGAAATTCATTTTTATTTGAACACAGTCGTGTGGACAAATACAGGGTGTCAAGTGGTCCACTCGGATACACGCTGATTCTATGTGGAAAAATAAGTCGAAAATATAGAATAAATTTGTTCGCATTCGAAGTACCGTTTTCGAGAAAAAAGTAGGTTGAGAAAAATAATACTATGGAATAGGAATCAAGTGGCGCGTCTGACCATAACAGACCGATTCTACTCCACGTCATACTAACAAAGCCTTCAACGAGAAAATGTTATTCTTTCTCCTCGACTTATTTTTTCACGTAGAATCAGCCCATATCCCCCGATTGTACCACCGATTACACGACACCCTGTATATGTGACACTTTTTCAAACAGAATAACTTCTCCAAAATTGAGATGTTAGAATTAGATTTAGCAATTAGGTGGAATATCAAGGAATATAAGAAAAGAATATAAAAAAAATCGAACGAACTTTTTGTGGCCTATCCAATAGATCGGGAAATAGTTCCCAGCTTATTAGTTCAGATAATCGGCGTAGTAGCGCAATATTTCAGGTAAAAGAGTCGGGAAGGTTCGTTCCGGGTTTTGTTTCGCCGCCAGAAAACGGGCTTCGAGTTGTCCTCGGGTGACCTAGATGCGACCGTTCCAGGGTTAAAGTCGAACGAGCCGAAGGAAGGGGGAATCGTTGCGGACAATGCTCGTTGCATCCGCAACGCCGAAAACATCCTTCTTCTGTTCGCCGTTATTATCTTCGGAATAAATGGATATTGTGCGCCCGAGCGACGTAAGGACGGGGGCCGGCCGGGAACAAAAGCTTATTGTTGGCCGTCGCTAGGCCGAATGGACGTTCGCGTGTTGTTCGTTACGTGAATGCTTCCGAACGCGCTCAGACTCCGAGCGTCGTCGCTCGCCTCGAACCAATTTTCTGATTAAGTGCCGACCGTCCCCGGTAAGATCGTTACATCTCTCGCGGCATCTAGTATACGCGTCGTCCTCATTTCCAGCCCGGTTATCGGAATAAATCAGACCGGGAACGACGAAACGCTTCGTCCGAGATTACCTTTTCCGGAAACGCTGGATCCGACTAAGTGGCTTCTTAGATCACGGATCTTCGTCGAGCGACGCACAGAATTATTTGAACCGCTTGCGAAAGTTCGTACGATTCCTAAAAATAAGGTTAAATTTTATTGTCAGGCTTACATTTAACCTTGACATAACCTTGACTTTGGACGAGGCTTACCGGAGCTGTAAGTCGATGGCTATTTCGGTTTTCGGTGATTTTCTCAGGAAACCGGAAAAGACTTTTCAACTCTAGATCAATTTTCTGTATTCCATTTTCTGGAATTAATTAATTAATTAATTAAGAGTGTAAAGGTAAACTTCTGATAGAGACCGCTAGGCGTTCTAGTAAAACTTTCGTATTATCGATGAGAATTCTATTGTGCGTGCGGTGTCCATTACAGTAACACTGATATACAAAATTGTTGTCTCAAAATTATTGTACAAGTGAGAAACGTGGGGTTCCTGAGGTCATTTGAAGTAACTTTTTCCTTAGCGAAAATGCAATCCGCGGCTTCGTTTACGAGTTATTAACGAAAAACCGCGAGGCGGTCGAGCCAACGAGCGGCCGAGCTAATGGGCGGCCGAAGCACAGTTCCGCTCATTGGGTCGTCCGCCTCGCGCCAGCTGAACTCGCCTCCTATTGGTCACTATTTTTCGTTAATAACTCGTAAACGGAGCCGCGGATTGCATTTTCGTTAAGGAGAAAGTTGCTTCAAATGTCCTCAGGAACCCCTCATTTCCCGCTCGTACAATAATTTTGAGACACCATGTAGTAGTCGTAGCACTACACTTACACAAATATAATATAAAATAATATTGTATCGGCGAATACCGGTGTTTTACTAATACCTCTCGCGGGAACTCGTGGAATAAACTCTTAGTGTCATAGAAATTTCTCGATAGGATAACCGTAATCGACCCATCTCTCTTTTTTATACCGTGGTCCATAAACACGTAACAGATTAGCTTCATTTTACATGATTAGCATCAATATTAATCATATATAATAGTATTTTAGCACGATATTTTACTTCTCACAGTGCTGTGACTTTACTCTGACGAAATCTATTTGATCATAAAAATTATTACATATTCTGAATACATGAGCAGATAAACGTGTTACGTTTCAGAATAGTATATGCAATAGTTTATTCGTTGTCGAACTAAAGACACTGCATAACGTTCTGTTATACTTGTTGCTGATATGAAACGCAAATTAAAAAATGTATGTACTTATCTCACATTCCTCTAGCTTGGATAAGAAAATATTTTGCTCGATTCAAATAAAAGTTCCAGAACGTTGCTGTATTTTTCTAAACTGATCTCTTTATCTGTCACCACAGAACAAAATTCCAAAGCGATCTGAAAAAATTAGCAAAATCGGCCAAATTTGCGCGATGCCTAAATAGCGAGAGTTGTTAATCATTGCCAAAAGAAAAATACCCGAACACCAGAGTTCATTCGCAAGGGATTGAAGTAAATCTGTGTACACAAGATCGTTTATTTCTCCGGAAACGTTAAAAGCCGACTTTGACTTATCTCTCTGAGCAAACGCGTCGGTGAAAATACGGGAGAAATTGTTCGATCCATTAGGATTACGAAGGTAACACCATAAATCCGGGCAATTCGGTGTACAGAAACGGGACGGAGAAAGTATGCGCGATGCTGGCCGAGAACGCGGCTCGAGCTCGGCGTCGCGTGAGCATCAATAAGAGATTAAACTGTAGCCGGCTGTAATGGCGTGACACGATCCAGCCGATGTAATCTCACGTCTCCATGTGTTACTCTGTTCCAGTCCCTATATCGCACATCGTGGCGCTGGTCGGTCATCCCACGAATCTTCCCTGCAACATATCAACCACCCATAAAGGGGACTCGGTGCTTCTTGTGCTGTGGTATCGCGAGGATCTCGCCACGTCGGTTTACAGGTGAGATACAAATCAATTTGCGGACGGTGGGCGCGTACACAGGTAGCCCGCGGCCGAGCCCTGTATCCGCTCGTTTCTCCATCGGTCCAGGACAGGGCCGCAAACAGGGCGTCGACGGGGACGCAAGATTGGTGGCCGGTTCCGTCGCGTCGGTCAGCTTGACTTCCAACCCCGCAAGAATTTATTCCGCTCGGCGCGGTTCAACGGCCGGCATTCTCCGATGATTCACTGACTCGTCCCCGGCTCTTTTTAATTTCAGCTCGCTCGAACTGTCCGCCGCGGAGACTGCGAATTACGCGCCCTGCCGCTGTTATGAAATTCTTCGTTCCGCGACGCACGGCTGCTTGTAACATCGTTATTTAATTAAAAACTGATACGACCCATTGGAAATAAACACAATATTATTAAAAAGAGAAAGAAAATTATTGCATTTTTCAGAGAAGCGATTATTTCTATAGATCTTCGAAGTACAGCGTGTCCCACAAAAGTGTTCGTACTTATTTTAAAACGTAATTTTTTCAGAACTGAACCAAATGACTCAAGTGTTTTTTAGATGACAGTCTTTTAGACGATGGCTAAAAGCTCTCTTTTTAATTTTGCGAAATAATTACTTGAAATGAAAAGAAAAAATTGAAAGCCCTCGTTTTTAACTTTTTTTATTTGAGCCTACAACGAAAATTTAACAAACGCCTTTTGTATTTTTCGAGGCCTTTTTATAAAATGTCTTTTTGTAGATTTTTACAAGCGCCGGAGGATTTTAAAAATTGCAGATTTTTTACAGTTTTTGATCGGAACCGTGTTAAAGCTGCGATTTTTGCGATCTTTAATTTATTGTAACTCGTAACAACGTGAACCGATTCCGATAAAATTTTCAACGTGTATATGTTACCGGGATCTACGAAAGACATTTTTTAAATTTTCATTATAGGCTAAGATAAAAAAGTTAAAAAACGAGAGATTGTTATTAGCAACGGAAAAAGTAAAAAAAAAGCATTTCGGTCATCATCTATTAAACTATTCCCTCTATCAACTAAAAAAAAATTCAAGTCATGTAATTCAGTTTTAAAATATTATATAAATATTATAAATATAAATATATAAATATTATATTAAAATTCAGTTTTAAAAGGTGTGCAAACAGTTTTGTGAGCTACTGTACACGATTCTCAATTCCTCTCACATTAATCCCTTGCACTGTAACGAGCTAAACATAATTCGAGACTCGTACATATCATATTTCTTCTAAATCGAAACAGAATTTGATTCTTTTCTGATCAAAATCTCGAAATAAGAGCGAACAAAGACGTACAAGGAACAAAAAGTGTCTCGTACAATTAGGCGAATTATTAAGAACGAAGCTAATCGACGCAGCTGTGAAACAAATCGAGGGATTAGTGTGCGAATTTTAATACGAAATTGCTAGTCGCTTATTTTCTATATTGCTCGACTGTTCCGTTGGCATTTCTTCCAGTGTTGATGCAAGGAATCAGGACTCCGGCAAGCCAGTAAAATGGTCGAACGAGTCGGTGTTCTCGAACCGAGCGTATTTCATGCCGGACAGAACGCCGGCGGAGCTCGGCGTCGACGACATAAGGGAGGAGGACGCCGGCATCTACAGGTGTCGTGTCGATTTCCAGATCGGGCAGACACGCAACTCCAAAGTCAATTTAACGGTGATAGGTGAGTCGAACCGACAATCAGATTCATACGTTTCGCGAGCGCCGTAATAGAATTTTAATTGAAACGGGAACCCGAAACTCGTGTGCAATTTACTCTGCAACAAGAGTCTCCTATACGCGATGAAAGTATTGTAATAAAATATTCTAGAGATATTTGACGCGTTCTTTTCTTTTTGTAAATCTTCCTTTGCGAGATTGAATAACTCGACAAAATAAATGAAACATTCTGATCAGACTGTTAAACGTTTAGATATGTACAGATAAAAATATTGTAAATATAATAAGACAAACTAGGATTGGACGAATGGTTTCTTGATCGACAAAAACTGCGCTGTATTGTCGAGAAGATGTTCCGCTGAAAATTAAATTATTCGTCTTTGGACAGAATAATGATTTAATGACTCATAAACCGTACCTGCTCGACAGGCAGAGAAAGTATTTGTTATATATAAAAGTACCAGACACAGTAATCCTCGTATTTTGTAAAAAGAATTTAAATTATTATTATACTGCGGATCTTCGCGCAGAATATAAATATATAGATGGAATATAGATAGAATATAAATATATATAAAAATTTATATTCACGTATAACATTTTTAATTACATATAAACGTTAATATAAACATAATTAATATATAGTTAATATAAACACGTTATCATAAACATTATTAATTACATATTACGTATAAACATTTGAAAATAATCAAACTGCATTGTTATATTTATCCTCTGCATTTACTGTTTTGCATTCCACCCGTTCGCTTCTGTCATAAACGAATAAAATCCGCAGTCTAGTTACAATAAAGTCTCCCTAATTATAAACAGCTTATAAACAGAAATGGACATGGCTTATTTTTATAGGCGCCGATTATAAATAATTATGAAAACGAAGCGCATGGCTCGATTAATCGTATCTCCTCTTCCCAAATTGTCCATTTATGTTTCCAAGCTAAGCGTCAATTAGGGAGAATTTACTTTATTACATCGAGTAAGAAATAAATAGAATAGATCAACCTTTAGTCAGAGAAACGATGCTTTCTCACGAAATAAACTGCACTGTAATATCATAAAAGAGATGCTCCAGAAACAAATCCATGTGTACGAGAACTCGGTACTTGCTTACCATAAAAATAATACTGTCCCAGTAAATGGACGATTTTCGATCGGACAACTGCTTATAGCCTGCGCGGACGGTACTCTAAGAGCAGAAATAACGATCGCCGCGAGTAAAGGTACCGAGCGCACAAATATTTTCGCGTTCGAAAATTTGTATCAATTCGAGAATCAGCAGAACGAATCATTTATTGGTCAAACAAAGGTCACCGTATAAAACGAACTGCACTCCCGGGAAGTGTTCCGTCGCAAACAGAGCCATGGGAGAATTCGGGGTGGGGGAGGGGGGGCTGGCAAACAGAAGAAACGAAGCCCGAGTAGAATAAGTCAGTCCGCAGCCAGACAAGCAGAATATTTCCCGAGCCAAATATTGTGTTCGAAAACAAATTGAACCGAATCCGTCGGTCGCGTCCTGATTTCCGTACTCGGCCAAGAAACCTCTAGAGAGAAGTTCGGCAAAATCCGCCCGTTCGCTGCACGGCTCGCTCGGGACTGTCAGTCGCCGTCAAACGCGTCTGCCGTTTTCGCGGCATGCATTCAAACGTTCCTCCGAAAGTAACGTTGCCGGGAGAGAGAGAGAGAGAGAGAGAGAGAGAGAGAGAGAGTGAGAGAGAGAGAGAGAGAGAGACATACGACAGAGTTGCCTAGACAATAAACGGATCCCGTCGGTGTAGATGATCCGCATAAGCACGCGATATTAAAAACAGTAAATTCTCGTATAACGCGGTTAATATGTTACCCGCTATATGAATTTGCGTTATAGGTAATCGTGCTGTACTAAACAATGACTTTCACACAACCAGTTGATAAATCTTAAATACAGTCCATTAACATTAATTAACACCAAACCTTCTGAGATTTAACACTTGATTTACGGAGCACAAAAAAGAGCTGTTTTATGTTAGTTTATTAAAGTAACAGTAAGACATTTATTCTGATTTTTAATAAGCGCTATCGTAACATTTGCCGCAAGTAACATACGTTACCAGTAAAACGTACAACGTTTTTTCGCGTAGAATCTCGATTATACCACCGATGCTTGGGACAAGCATACGAATAAACCATATTAAATGTTTCGTTCAAAAATAAACAAAATAAAAGAATAAAAAACGTTAACACGTCTTATTCGATAAATATGAAATTAATTATTCCGAAAAACAGACCAAAGGTGCAGCAATTGGTGATCGCACAGTGACCGGCTCCACTACCCTAGTTTCCGTTTCATTCGTCAATTCCGGGTACTCTTTTTACGTAATTCGCAATCGTTTCGAAGAAACTCGGATAGAAGGAGCACGGAAACTGCGTAGCAGAGCACGAAACAGTCAGCGGTCCCCTGGAAATCGCGAGGTTCGGCGCGCCTTCTGCCGCCCGATCCGGCGAGCGAGTCGATAAAGCGTTTATCGTGCAACGGCGCGGAACGGATCCGCGGAAGCCCGGCTCGAAAAAACGCTCGGTTTTCCTTTGTTTGTTTGTTTGTTTTTTTTCGTCTTTGAAGAGCTCCGCCTCGGAGCCAGGAATGTTTACGCGAGCCAGGTGAAATATTCGTGCAGGAACAGACGGGGACCGCTATCGGGCCGGTTCCCTAGCCGCCCTCGGCGTGTTCGGCCAGTTTCCGAGCGCCGCGCAATGCCACAGAATGAGAAAATATATCAAGATGAGAACTATGCCAGCTGGAAAGCGGCGGACAATGCCGACGTAGCCGCGCGTACCCGCTCGGTCTCGCGGGGCTGCATGCGCTTTATCTGGCCGCCGGATCGCCGCGCGGTTCAAGTTTTTAACGGCTATCCTACTCGCCGGCACAATTTATCCGACCGGAATTCACAAAGGCCGGGCCCCGGCAATAGTTGCGTGCGACGTGCGCGATTTTTCGACGCTCGGCTCCTCGGGAAATTACTCCACGAATTCCCGGACCCGGCGAGCCCAGCCGCGCCGCGCCGCCTGTAATATCGCGACGGTGAAAAACGGCATGTCGCGGAAATTATGTTGGGGAATAAGCTGCGCTACCTTTGATACCGTCGGCCGGGAAGCCGTCCCGTTGTCGAAATAAATTACGTGTTTACGTGCTGGACGAGCCGGGCGCGCCCTCCGCTGTCCATCCGAAATGGGTGAAACGCGCCGGGCAATATGTGCCACTGCCTGGGCGCAGATTTGTCACTATTAGGGATACGCTGCGGTCAACGATCAAATTGCGGACTCCTTTAAAAAATTGGCTTTTCAATGGGCCGGTATTATTGCGGAGCCTGTAACCCCGGCTGTGTCGTAGTGCCGCGGACGGTTTATTGCATACGCGAAAGCTGGATCATAAAAACGGTTTTATGTCTGTGCAACTTTCGTGCATATTTCTCGGGTGACTTCTCGTCTAACGCGCACAGGATTGGTTAAAATACCGAGGTTAAGGTAAAACGGAATGAAAGGCTTTGGATAATCTATGATTTTTACTAAAATCTGTATCTGGAAACGATTTACTTTTCACTAAACCAGAGTCGGGTATTCATTCGAATTCTTTCGGATAAATGTTTCTCTGAAAATGTTATTCGAACGAAGTCTTTCTAGTCGATTATTTTATTCGAATTACAATGATTCGTTATCGTTAACCAATTGTTCTATCTATTTGTCCGAATAATTCTTCATTTTTTATTCGAGTAATTTAATCGAATAG